CCTGACATGGAGCGGGCTGTGCCAGGGAGGGGGGAGGACGGGAATATCAAACAGTTGCAAAAAGCCGTGGGGACGCCAAACGCTTGGTTTCTGGGGGACCTGCCTTTTTCACCCCAACCGGTTTTCGGACTTCCTTTTTCCCTTTGGGTTCTGGGCCCGAAGCGCCGGCTCCCACGGGCGGGTTTGGAGGACGGGCCGGGCGCTGCTGGGGGACTTTGGACTGGTGCGGCTGCTGGAGTCTACCTTGGAGCTGGCACAGACGCGGGTGGGCACGCCCTACTACCTCAGCCCGGAGCGCCTCGTCGGTGATATGCAAGGGGTGTGGGGTGTGGTGAGGGCTGCGAGTGCCTGCTTGAAGATAAACTTTTCATCCCATGCCAAAGTCTTGCGGCATGATGGGTCTCACAACTTTATGTAGATGCCGCATTCGGTGATTCAAATCTTCATCCTTCGAAGCTTTTAACTGTAGCGATCTCCGTGCACAAAAGTTGTGGCAGCACTTGAAGCAGTTTTCACATGATCGTTGGCGTCAGCATCCACAAGACCGGCACTTGCACGCCAATGTTTCATAAGCCAAGGCGGACCGACCAACATCTCAGGCCCAACTCGCTCCCTCAGCAACGCAAACCCAGAACCCTCGCAAGCAATGCATTTGCCGCCAAGGATCATCCGGCGACAACCCTACAACCACAAGACGGACGTTTGGAGCCTGGGCGTGCTCTTGTACGAGATGGCGGCTCTGAGGCGGCCCTTTGTAGGCACGCTGGAGACGTTGCCCAACCTTATCGTCAAGGGCGCGTCCTGGCAGGAAGCAAGGGAAGCAAACCATGCGGCAGGTCAGGCAGGTTTACTTGGTGAGCAGCGGGTCTCTTAAAAAGAGTCCTCAAGATCCCTCTGCCATTTGCTAGTTCAGCTTCAACTGGCTGAAGCTGCAGACCTTGAGAGAGGTCCTCATGTAGTTTGGCCCAGCTTTGGGGAAGCCCTGGCTACGTCTCCTCCGCAACACCCCCCGGCCCCGTTTCCGGCCGGCGCTAAGGAGTACGAGCCTCTGCCGGGGAAATCCCGGGCGCTGCCGGTGCTGTTGGGGCGAATGCTAGTGGTGGACCCCACGCAGCGCCTGGACCTCTGTAGCGCTTTGAGGCGAGCGAAGTTGGACGTGTGTTTTGTTTTTGGCTTGTAGAGTCCTCTGCCCTTTTTACACCCAACTAACACCCAACCAAGGCTTTCTTGGGGGAGTAGTAGGTCCCTAACAGCCTTGAAACCTCTCTGGACTGTCGCTGTTGGCGGGAAGCCTGAAGGTCCCAAACAAGGTTGGGGTTCATTTTTCCATTCCTTTGTTTGGGAGAAACAATCACCATGGACTTTCCAAAGATTCGACATGTCCCCTTTGTCGCCGTCTGAAAGCGCCTTGCAGCAGTGGCACATCTCGGGTCATTACCATTTGTTTTTGTTTTTCGGCAGGTGTGATGCGCTCAGTGGAGTTAGTCCATGGGACACCATCAGAACAGGCATTTTCCGATTTCTTTAAGCCCGCGCTTTCCTTGGACGACCCGTTTTGCCTAGATGCTTCTTGCCCCCGCCTCCCCCCCCCCCCAGATGCTTTTGTGTGATTTTTTGACTCGCCTAGATGCTTTTTGCCTTGGCCTCGCCAGGGAGGAGCCCTTGGCGGAGCCCTTGCGGAGGTCCCAGGAGGCACTGGGCCTGGTGCCCTTGCGCAAGGAGCAAGGGGCCATGGTGGGCGCTGGGGCTGGCGGATGCAAAGGGAACCTGCTGGACAGTCATAGGGAGGCCAAGCCAAGGGCCCATTTCGGCATCACAGAGAACAGAGAGGTCAGAACTGACTACGCTCAAGCTACCGCCAAGCCATCATGGAGAAAGTGCCATGTTGGTTAGGCGCTTTTTTTTCTTTTATTTTTTTCTTCTTTTCCGCCAGTGGCTGCAGTGCCCAGTGCCCGAAGCAGGAGATCCAGGAAGATATTCAAGAGAAGTCGGACTGGATTGGGTACAACACCATGATCCGCTTCAAGGCTTGGACTTTTTGGTTTTTGGGCTTTTCCCTTTCTTATCGCGGGGGTGCCGAGTGGTCCTTTTTCTGCTTCTGCGGGCTTCGAGCCATGCGCGCAAACGCCCAAAACAGGCGCTCGGTGCCAGCCAAGCCATGGGCTCCAGGCATTCCGGTAGCCGACAGCTCACACGTGGGTGCCGTGGTTCACCAAGCATGTGCGACATCCGCATGGGTCGTAGCACTGCTGAATGTTTGGGCGGGGGGTGCGTGCGTCTTTTTGGCAATAAAGGCAGGGCTTCAAATTGGGGTGAAAGCAAGTAGTAAGCATTGAAGGCAAGGCGACTCAAAACGCCCACTGGCCAGCAGTCGCCTTGGAGGAAGCTGCAGGTTCTGGCTGCGAATGCTAGTAGACCAAGGACGGCGTGCCATTGTTTTATTCATGTTCCGTTCTTCTCTTTCTTGTTGTCAAGCGGGTTTTCAATGGCCAGTGCTCTCGGCCCAAGATCTGGGAGCTCTTTCGACATCCTTTGTTCCTTCTAATCTGGGCCCCAGATGAATACACCTTGCGGATGAAGAGGGGGGATGTTTCACTCCCAAGAGTGAAGGATTGCCTCTCGAACCAGGGGTTGATGAATTCTGGCTTCCCATTGAGGTTCGCAAAGCGTGCATCTGCTGAAGCACATGCCCACAATTCCTGTTCAACTCGCAGCAGCACCCTTTGGGTGTCTTTTGGCGTTGCTCCACTCAGTGCCTACCAAACCCAAGAGACTTGCAGCCACTGTATACCCACATGGAACCTGACAGGGGCTCCCTTTAAAAGGAAAACGGTCCAACCCAGGACCCAACGAACGTCAAACCGGTTCCATGTAAAAAGGGTGGGAGGGCAAGCGGTCTTTGCCAGACACGTTCCCTCCAAAATCGATGCTTTGCGGCCGGAGGCCCAGCAAAGCGCGGGAGACGCGGTGGACCCTAACTGGAGCACCGCCGCCCAGGACTCCGACGATGGCGGCGGCTCCGAGCAACTCGCGGCGAAAAGTGAGAGACATCTGTTGGATCATCCTACTTTTGGTCATGTTGACCGCGGATTGAAACTACACCCCCATTTTTTTGCAAACATAGGGGGTGGGGGGCCCCTCCAAATGTGGTCTGAATCCCCACTAGGGAAGTCCCAGAGTGGGGTGACATGCCACTCTTCCAGCTCGAATGGATGTTTTGGATAGGTCCGTGGGTTTCTTGGTGGCCTTTCCGGTGTCCAGTCCGGGTGAAATTCGATGGCTCCCACTTTCGCCCTCAGAAGGCCGAATCGAATGGACTCAATCCGCCGGCTTGCGGGAGTGAGCTTGGGATTCTTCAGCGGCCATTCGCCGCAAGTGACGAGTTGCCTTTGGTGCTGTTGGCCAGGTGTTTCGGCCGCTTTTCTGGTTGGCCGTTTGTGAGGAATGCACCTTGCCCCGTTTGCTTTGGGAAGTTGTGGCGAGACTTACAGAAGCGGAGTTGGGACTGTTGGAATCCTATGGCAATTCGAATCGCAGGGTGAACGTATATCATGTATTTTGATTCTTTAGGCAATGGGTCCCCAACGACGGAGTTCCCCATCGTTTGATTCAGGGCTTGGCTCCAAGTTGTTGCTTCACTTGACCGCATTTTTCCTTGGGCGCCTTTTGGGGCACACCATTCGCCCGCTTTTGCCCCCAGGGGCTGCTCCATCCTTCCCAGCCACCTCCCCACCAACCCAGAAGCGGAGGTCGGACGACAGCTGGGGCTCCGTGGTTGACACTGGCATGGACGCCCTGCAGAAGCTGGCGGCTTGAGGAAGCCGCGCGCGCGGAGCGAGCGGGCCGAGGGGTCGAGCGAAGTGGGCGCGCCGGTTCGTTCTTTTCTATCAGAAAGCGGAGGGTTGCCAGAACATGGCTCCGTTGAAGATGCAGTCTGCAGTTTGCACCCTACCCTCTGGAAATGACAACTAAGAGTTGGCAGTTAGGCTCTATCCCAATGTGTCGAAAAGAGGTAAGATGAGGCAGGACGTGAATATTCTGGCTCTGACCCCCGTGCCATTTCATTGAGACCTTGACAGAAATGGCTCGCCCCACTGAGGTTAATGTTTCTGGGCCCGGCAGCCACTCGTCGTTTGGTGGATGCCGGCCCCATGGGTTTGCCCAGCATGTCTTGCACTGCGCCTGTACTCATCAGCCTTGGACGTTTGTGGCCTTCGGGCAAAAACTAGGTCCCACGGTACTGCCCTTTTACCCTTTTTTGGGGGGAGGGCTCCCCTACTAAAATAGACTACAGAGAAAAAAAGGTACCCTTATTCTAACCTCTCTACTGGAGGACCTAGAAAATGCCAGGCATAGGGCGGGAAGTGCAGGTGCCATGCGCGCCCTCATGCCCCAGCTGTTGGGGCCAGATGGTGCAGCATTTGTTAGGAGAGCCAGGGCGGCAGAGCGCCCGGAGCAATGCATGGCCTTTTATTGCGTGGCTGTGTCAAAACTAGGGTGCCCCTAGGAAAGCCAACATGAAGCTTGTTTTGCTGGAGGTCCCCACTTTCGACACACACACACACACAGCTACACAAAATTGCCAACCTGGCCAAATTGGCCAAACGGCCAAGTGGCCAAATGTGCCAACTAGGCTTCGGCAGGCGAGTGCCCCCACACCGACCGGGGCGCGAACCGCCATGCTGGAGAAAAAGAGCGGATCTAACAGGGTACCCATGGTACCCCTGTCCTATACCCTTATATAGTATACTCTTTACATATCCCGTAAGATGAGTATCCTC